GACTAAGGATCAGAACACAGGTTCCTAACATTCATTCCAGGGTTCCAGGGTTCCCCACCCTGGTCTGATTTCTTTCATAAACCGTAAAGGCAGGGAGGAGATTTAACATCTGGTGACTCCCCATTCTAAAATAGGGGATAACTCTATGAACTTTTCTAAACTGCAGGACCTCTATGTGCCAACACCTACCTCACTGGGTGCTTTGAATGTGTATCATCCGACTTAGTCCTCATAACATGCCAGGGTAGGTATCTTTTCCCAGTGTTACAGATAAGGAAACCGAGGCTCAGAAACGTTCAATTGCTTGTTCAATCCTGTCAGTAAGGAAATTGCAAAAAAAAAAAAAAAAAAGCCAAGATTGGAACCAAGTCAGTCTAACTTCCCTTGGACAATGCAGCACATTTTGTCTTTTTGTCCTTTCAGATAGCTATGCAAGATAAAATGATGTCCACTCTGCAAATGAGGAAACTGAGGCGTGGTGAGGTTAAGAAACTTGACAAGGTTGCAAGGGTGCAACTCCACTCTGCTATATCTCAAGTCTGTGTTTAAATTGGCCCTACAATGACAGGACAGAGTTTTCATCTCTGTGTTGATGAAAGAGTACCACCCGTGAGCTAGAGACAGTTGCCTCTGGTAGGCTTGAACTGATGGCTCAGGCAATACGTGTCTATACTTATGCAGTGCTGGGCTTAGTTCTCCATCACTTTAAAGGAAAAGCCCAAGGAAATATTTCCCTTTGCTTGACTGACAAGTCAAAACAGCCACACAGCCTCTGCTTGACCTCTTCTAGTAGGAAGATTATTTGTCTAATTAGGTAAAGAGCCTTTATGCACATGTACATTTTTGAACCCTAATGAGCTGTCAACGTGAAAGGCTTGCCCTTGGCTCGGTTCTCCAGCTGATCTTTCCTTTCCTCAGTGGAAAAGACCAGCGCAATAAACAGAACCTCGTTTCCATGGAAGCTCACTCTCTAACTTTTTCTTTCCAGTCCTTGAAAAGGTAATTACTTGATTTCTCTTTATATTTTGGGATTTCATACAGTGGAGCTGTCAAGCTCCTCACGCGAGGATGGCCTTCTCTATCATGCCAAGCTATTTTAGGGAGCTTCAGTTGCATTTCCCTTTTCATCCTCTCTTCAGATCATTAGCTGTCAGGCAGCAGTGGCCGCCTTCTGGTCACTCCTTCTAATTAAAGTCTAACAGAGCAAGGGGACTTGACCCCAGAGAAAGTAGGCGACAGAAAAGCCAGGGAAATTTGTCAAGAAATGGGAGCCTCTGATCACATAATTTCTGCTGCACAGACTGTCAGACCGAGACCCCACATTCACGCCAGTGAGGGACACTGTCCCATCTGGTGCCTTCTCTTCTGAACCTTTGACGCCCCATTGTGGCCCATGTCAGAAATGCAGCCAACATGGACTGCTCTAAAATAACAACACAAGGAGCAGCAGCCACCATTCATGAGGGTTTGCTGCATGACAAGCCATGGACTGAGCACTTTATATCCATTGTCTCCGTTGATTCTCATGACAACCTGGGGTCTCATTAACCTGATTATTCAGATGAGAAGAGCTGGAGCACAGAGAGGTTAAGTAACTTGCCCAAGGTCACACAGCTACTAAGTGGCACAACCAGGATAAGGACACACCCATTGCTATTATTTCTTAGGAAGGAATCCAGCACTGCTACAGCCTCTCCAAAAGAAATGACAGAGGGTTGACATTTCTCTGCCCCCAGTGGTGGCTCTATGGGTGAAACTGGCACGTGTCTACAAGGAACAAAGCGAGGTTGCTGAGCTAGTTAACTGTCGGGATCAATTAGAAAAACCAAACAAGGCACTTAAGTATGAAGCCAGCATAATGCAGAGCAAGAGTTCCAGTTTGAGGCAGAGCAGACTTGGTTTCAGGTGACTAGTACCACTTAACCAGATGTGTGATTTGGGGCATGTTCCTCTACCTTACCAAGACTCGGTTTCCTCATCTGTCAAATCGGGATAATGACACCAACCTTACAAAGTTGTTGTTTCACATGTGGAATTTTCCAAACTGCTCTGTGGAATGTTTGATTTTTGGTGGAATAACTGTGTAAAAGACAAGGTTAAATGCAGTTAAAAACAATTATTTACTCTAGAATTTCTCAAAGTCTTGATTATGCTGACATATTACTAATTTTCAAGAGGAATCTTCATTTCCTCACCCCAGAATCCTTTTTCGTGTGTGAATGCACATTAGCCTCTGTTTCTTGGTACCCGTTAGAAAAGGCTGTAAAGAGGTCATAGGGTATTTGGTGTTTGGTACAGGCATCAATAAATGCTAATCCCTTCTTCTTTATGCCCAAATCTTGTCTGTTCTTGCTGGATTTAAGCTCCATGGAGTCAGGGACTTGTTCCTTTCTTATTCCAATATCTGGACATATCCAGATATTCCATAAAAATTTAATGAATGAATGAGTAAAGTAGTGAACTAATGAATAAAAGAATAAATTAAGCTTAATGTAGACCTTGCCTACTCATCTTCATTACCAGCATTTTCTGCTGTTTCCAGTTGCCTTCTATGAAGCCAGTAGGAGAAACCCAAATGCCTCTGGAAAATTTAGTAATGGAACTGGTTCTGTTGGGCTGTATTTTACCGCTTCTGTTTTAACCTGTATGAGCACCGTATCTTCTGATGAAATTCTCCTAATCAAATCATTTAGCTGTTAACCAACCTTAGCCAACAACCAAATCATTTTGCTGCTTCCCAGTGAAACAGTTGAATGTTTCATTTGCATATGTGTTTTGAACAAGACATTTCTGAGTGTTCCCAGTGGATTTGCACTTAGAGCTGAAGAACTCTTGGGCTTCCCAAGGGAAAAAAAAGAAATGCAGCTCATTGGAGCCTAAAAACAGCACTGAGGACACTGTATTTCCCACGTGTGTGTATCTGTCAACAAGTGGTTATTGGGATGGACCACTGGTCAGTCATGTGACTGCTTTTGGGTGGTGTGTTTTACGTTTGTTTAGAATAGAATTTCCAACTCATGTTCTATGAGCATTATGCAAAAAAAAAAAAAAATGAAAATTCTAGCTTCAGTTTAAAAATGGTTGCATTGGGGCCAGGCACAGTGGCTCACGCCTGTAATCCCAGTACTTTGGGAGGCCAAGGCAGGCATATTGCGAGGTCAGGAGTTCGCAGGCCAGCCTGGCCAACCTGGTGAAACCCTGTCTCTACTAAAAATACAAAAATTAGCTGGGTGCGATGGTGTACACCTGTAATCCCAGCTACTCAGGAGGCTGAGGCAGGGGAATTGCTTAAATCCAGGGGGCAGAGGTTGCAGTGAGCTGAGATCGCACCACTGCACTCCGGCCTGGGCAAGAGAGCAAGACGCAATCTTGGGGGAAAAAAAATAAATAGTTGAGTTGGTCAAAGTCTAACAAATTTTCTTACTGCAGAGTTTCTCAAAGACTTTGTAACAGAACACCCTTTGGAAAATGCTGCCTTAGAATACTTAGCCAAATGCTGCAATCTAGTTTTCATGATCTAAGGAATAGTCCTTCTCCCAAACTGTGGAAAGGGGAAGATAAAGTGATGCGGTTCCTGAATCGAACAGGGTGATTTAAATGTACAGCGTAAAGCCAGATGGATTTTCAATATGTTTCATAAAATAAACCAAAGAAGATTAATCATGATGCTTCAAAAGTATGACCATACATTTTCTAGTGTTATTGTTTATATCATATTCCAAATAACTTATTTGCTATATCATTTCACAGCATAGGTGAGAATCTTTTTTTTTTTTTTTTTTTGTAGGCAGGGAGCTTAAAACGTTCTTCTAAAATTGATTTTAGAAGAAAGGGACTTAGAAAACTCACATATTTCTTATGCTACTTTTTGTTTTGAATTAATATATACTAAAAAGAGGAATGAGAACCAATTTATTTGAATGCCACTGCTCCTTAGTAAACTTTTCTGTGAATAAAATATAATTTGCTGAATAAGCAGACTCAATACAACTTGAAAGATGATGCTAGCTTTGCTTGAAAATAATAGTTTCAACTCATAAAATGGAAATGAACAACTATGGCCTGCTACCTGTTGTAAATAAAATGTTATTAGAATACAGTGGGTCTCATTCACTTACAGCCCTTACATTCACTTATGTATTATCTATACTTACATATTGTCTAGTGCTGTTTTCATCTGCAAGGGAGGAGTCGATTTATTGCAACAGAGATCTTATGACCCTCAAAGCCTAAAGTTTTGAATATAGGGCCCTTTACAGAAATGTCTGCTAGTCCTTTCTAAGAGTCATAGAAATATGTAAAAGGGATGAAGACTACATAACTGACCCCTTTTTCTTTAGATAGAAAAAACTGAAAACAGAGAAGTTAGGGAATTGTCCAGGCCTACTTGTGCCCGGGTGTTCTGATCTTCATATCCAAATAGCTCTCATCATCAGGGAGGACAGGAATAGATTTCAACTTAGATATCAACACCAGCTGATTGGAAGTAGCCATCTGGAGGGCTGGTTGAGGTCTCAGGGTTCAAAGAGAAGGAACGCAATGACTTATTAATCTTCCATGGTCCAGAGGTGGAGAACGGCTGGACCCGTGTCATGTGTGCACTGGGGATATGCACTATGTCTGCTCCTGACATTTCTAATAGTTATATTCCCATCTCCTTCCTTGTACATCTGCCGTGTAAGCACTTTCTTCATTGGGCCAAAAAGAAGCGTGCATTGGGTCCTCATTAGAAACACTGCTCCCTAACAGTTCAGAAGAGATTCATGATTCTTTTTCAAGGTCATTCAAATGCCTGTCTTAGCAACTGCCTACCACATCATGCTCTGCCTAGAAGAATTAACTTGGGATTTCACTCAGACTGGATTTGTCGGTTACAAGAATTTTTTTGTAACTGAAATACATCCATGGAGCACAGTGCAGGGGGTGTAAAATGGAATGTCCTGAGTTTATTGGCATTTGTGACCCAAACTGAAAGTCTCAATGTCTGTGCTTTTGTGCAGCTGGACAATCCAGACGAGCAAGCAGCCCAGATCAGACGAGAGCTGGATGGACGTCTACAAATGGCAGACCAAATAGCCAGGGTAAGGAGACATCGGGGTTGTTTGCTGGGGTCCAGGCCAAAGTCCCATTCAGGAAGCTCACTGATTATTGACAGCCTCTAAAGGATAAAGCTGAGAAGCAGAGAGGAGGAAAGATGAGGACAATCACCCTCACTGGGCCTTCAACCCTCCTTTCTCAAGGCAAGCTCTCCCAGAGATACCTCATGCATTTCCTATGCTCCAGTGAATACCCAAGCTCAGACCTCCAACCTTCCTTCTGAGTTCCAGACTCATAGTTCCAACAGTCTACTGAACATTTCCACTTAAACATTTCCTGGCATTTCAGGTTGAATGTGTTCAAAAGCCAGCTCCTTGTCTTCTTCCTCCCACCCCACACACGTAACTATATTTACTCCTCTTCTCGTGTTCTTTACCCAATCGCTGTGGATGAAACCTCCTAGCCATTGTCAATTTCTCCTTCCTCCCTGCAATGTTCCACACTCAATCAGCCACCCTGCCTCCAGTGACTGCCTCTTAAATGTGGGTCAGATCTCTTGACTGTTTTCCAGCCCTACTACTGGTGCTTTGATCCAGGCCCTCATCTTCAGCACCTGGATGTTACAGTAGCCTCCTAATGGGTATCCCTGGCGCCAATTCCCCCATTTTCTATCCATCCTGCACACAGTTGCCATGCTAAAACTCATATATAAACATCTCAAAACAGAACCTCAAAATCCTTCAATAGATTCCCTCATTGCTCCTAGGACAAAATCTAACCTCTTTAGAATGATATTCAAGACTCTTAACCAACAGACTCTACCCTTTCATTTAGCCTCACCTTGCACAACTTTCCCACCAGAACTCACCAGTCCAACCACAGAGAATGTTTCCCTCCGAATATATCAGACCCTTTCCAGGCTTGATGTCTTTATACCCACTGGTGTCTCAACCTGGTGTAACCATTTTTCTCCCCTCCACTTAGCAAACTCACCTACTCAGCCTTCAGTACCTGACTTAAAACGCCTTCTCTAAGAGCTTAGCAGTTAGTCCTTTCCACCTTTGTGCTCTCGTCAGACTGCATATCAACCTTTATTATAGCAGCTCATTGAATGGTGATCATTCGTTTACATGTCTGAGTCTCCCAGTATATTGAACCCCTCAAGGGTTGAGGTTATGTCTTACTGTTGATGACTACAGCTAAATGTTATCTACCATTGTTGCTATCCCTGCCATCTGTGATATTATTAATAGTAGTCATGCCAGTCATATTAGTTGAGTGCTGATTCTGTGTCTAGCATGCTAAATGCTTCACATGTACCAACTCAGTCAATCCTCAAAACAGCCCTCCGAGGATATTTCAGTTATCATTCTTGGTTTAGAGATGGGGAAGTCCAGGTTGAACCTGCTGGGCACCAGCAAAGAGGTTGTGCCACACCCTAAGCTCAAGTCTGTCTGAATATCAGGGCTGGCACCAGGCTTCTCTTAGGTGCAAAATTTAAGCAGACCTCCGGTAATCAAAATAAGCAATATTTTAGTAAAGTATCTTCAAACTATAATTAATACCAAAAAAATCCATGAATAATAAAATATAAAAATTGTAAATAGCAACAGGCTCCTGCTGATTCCTACTGTATTCACAGGCCCTGTGTGCCTATGAGGGTGGGGGTTATTAGAAACAGCAGGGAGGGTGGGCACAGGGTAGAGCTTTTCTCTTTATGGAAAGAGGTCTCTCTGGACTTGGAGGTATAGGAAAGGATCCTACTGGAGGAGAAGCCAGAGAGAGTCCAAGAAGCATCGAAATCCCCCTGTGCTTAAGCAGTTTTACTGAAATGTTTTGCATCTTGTTTTTGGACATCTTTAAAGTTTATAATCCAGTCAGCCTGGTGGCTAAAAATAGTATGCGCTTATGGATTTGGCTAAAAGTATTATAAAAGGTTATGTTTTAAAATCCCACTTAATGTGAGGGTAAACATTAATAAAGCTTTAGAATTTACTTCTCCTGTAAAAATGTTTTCTACTGGTGGATTATCCAGAAAATGGAGGTCATTTGGTCTATTCATCTATCTTTTAGAGAACGAGTATATTTCCAACTAATAAGTATTCATCCCATCTAAACAAAAATCACACACACCTCAAAAACAAGCTCTTGGCGCCTTTCATTTAGTTGCTTTGTTTACTTTAAGGCTTAACGTGTTAATTTAAGAAACTGGTGTTAGGGTAATTTTAATTTTTAATAGACTGTAGATGAGCCAAGATGCTCATCTCTGAATGGTAAATCAAAGAACTCTCTCCCCTAACTCCCACCACTAAGTATTCTGAAGCTAAATGAGATATTTTTAACAATTTAGAACTAAGCGTTCTTAGACAATGAAGTAGGCAATTAAAGTGGATCTTGATTATTATTTACAGAGCATGGAAAATGATTTCAGTATATTCAGAGGGTCCTTGTATAGGGTATTGAGGGTTTCTATGAGATAGAGTGCCCTCTACTGTCTCCTGTTCTTTCAGAAATTGACTCTCTTCTGCAATGTTCATTCATGCCAGTGGCCCCCTTGCTATAGCTAACTGGTCCTGGAGTGAGCTCTTCTTCACCCAAGTGGGACCAGTCACAGTTTCCAGCCTGCCCTGGCCACACGTGATTGGTCCAGAAATGGAAACTTGATGCAAACTAAACCAATGAATCCCTCCGTAGGGCCTGTGGACTGTGAGTCAGTAAGGCTGTTGTCTTCCAGTGGTAGAAAGATACCTGTAGCAATATTCAATTCTTCCATATAGGGAAAAGATGATGAGAGAATAAAACCAACACATAGAAACAGAGACAGAGTCTACACTGAGATGTCAAGGAGCCCTCAATCCTGAGGACATCCGTTTAAGTCCCTGATTCTAATTATTCTTAAGCTTCAGCCGTGTACCTGCTTTTCCCTCAGTTTAGTCAGATCCCAAGAAAAATAAATTCTCCCCTTGCCTAAACCAGCCTGGCTAATACTGATGAAAATTGTGAAATATCTCCTCCACTAAATGTTAAATAAAATATCAAGATCTCAGATATTGGCTAGTTCATGAAGAGATATTGAGACAAAGCACCTCTGCTTCTTTTCAGCATGCCCCGATTTTTCTATTTCCAGCATCAGTGAATTTTCGTGAGGATGTGCAATTCAACCCATATGGCTGAACGTCAGCTCCTGTAAATATCATAACCAGAAATTCCTAGATATAGATGTCATCCATCATATGTAATTCACTCTGTTCTCTGAATTAAAAGATGGGTGGAGCACTTTTGATTGCAAATAAGAGGCACCAACTCAAGAAAGCTTATGTAAAACAGGAGATCAAAGATGGAGGAGTACTTCACAGAGCCTGCGGAGAAACTACAGCCAGAGCCCAGGAAAGAACAACCAGGACACGCAGAGTGATCAGGACTCTCTCTGCATCTCCCATCTCCATGTGTCACATTCATTATCATTTCTTTCTTATCCACTGCAAATTCACAATGCTAAGAATCAGAACTCTCACTGGCCCAACTTGGTTCAAGGGCCAACCCCTGGTGCAGTTAACCAATCCACTGTGGAAAAGGGGTGAAGGTCTTGTTGAATACATGGATGCTGGGGATATATCATTTAGGGTGAGGGTGGGAAGAAGTGGGACTGTGGGTGGAGTGGACATTATGAATGCGGAAACACTCCAGGTGTACCCAATAGTAATAACTGTCACTTACCTAGTGTTTTCCTATGTGCCGGATGCTTCTTTAAGCATTTTACATTTGAGAATCTAACCCTCCAACAACTTAATGAGAAAGATGCTGTTATTATCCCCATTTCACAGATGAGGAGGCTAAGGCAGAGACATTAGAGAATCTGACCAGGGTCACTCAATGGCCAGAGTCTGCACTCTTAACCAGTATGCATACTATCATTACAATATATCTTCACAAATATAGGCCCTCACTTTCCTCCTCATACCAATCCAAGGATCCATTATACCCTTTACCCAGGCTTTTACCTTGCCTCATCCTGACCTCTCTCTCTGCTAATCAGTCCTTTATTAAATGTGTCAGTCAGACACTGGCTGTGCAATTCACATAAAATCTCATTTAGACCCGTGATGAACAATCTTTGGCATTGCATTAATTCTCCCAAGTACAGGCAAATCAAGAAGTTTACATATGTTCAAGTTCACACAGCTAGTACGCAGAAAACTGAGTTGTCTAATTCCACGTTTCATGCTATTTCTTAGAATCCTCAGAAGAGAGGCAGGAATTTACTCCAGGACAGGACTCCCCACCATTCTTCACTCCCTGCTGGTTCCCCCTCCTGGAAACTGCTTTCTTTTCTCCACTAGAAGTTGTTGTGTGTTCCCTGCAGCTTATCCAGAAGCCCAAATGAAGCAGCAGCGTTAGGCAGATTTGGCTCCTAGAACTCAGAATCCTCTCTACTTTGATTCTTTTTTAGAATCTGGGAAAGATATTGTAGGGACCCTGGTTATTTTGCCAGTAGCATCCTCATCATCACATATTTCCACTGAAAGACACGTTTGTCCTCTCTTCCTAGGAGGGAAGGGAGGCAAGAGCAAGCTGACTTTCCCTTACCCACGACCTTGCACTGTAATCTTTCAATTCAATCACACCAGCATCTCACGAATCATCAGACAGAGACGGCTGCACAAGAACATCAGACTGAGACTGTCTCACTGTGAACATCAGTCATGCTGCCTTAAAAGTTCCAGAAAGAGATATGAATGCATTTTTTAAAAGCTGGTAGAAAAGACTTAGTAATCCCTACTCAAACATTTTCCCAAATCCTCTCATGTTGATATTAAAGTGTTCCCAAATTTCACCCAGGAATTAAGTCTAAGTTATTTAAATTGTGTGATCAAAAGTTGACATTTGAGCTTAAGCAGACAGATTGTGGCATTAGTGCTGCTGTGATATTTGCCAGTTCTTTTGGCCGAATTTTAGTGTAAAATTCCAAAATTCTTGAGCTAATTATTTAAGACAAATCATACAGTTTTTGTAGTGTCAGTGGCAGAGGTCTAGATGTAAAACA